TCATGAGCACGATCCCAAAAAGGTCTTCTACCTGTCATATATTCCCACATAATCATACCAAAACTATAAATATCTGAAGCCGTGGTATATTTTTGCCCTTGAAGAACCTCTGGTGCCATATAAGGAATAATTCCATAAGTTTCATTAACGTCAGCTCCAGTAGCAGATTTACTTAATCCTAAATCACCAATTGTAGTATGTTCGCCACATTGATCTTCAAATATCAAAATATTTCCACTATGAAAATCACGGTGGATAATATTATTATTATGAATACTTGATAGGCCTTCTGCAATTAAAGATAAATGATATAACTTTGTATTCCAACTAACATTGAAAAAAACTTTAGCTATATAATGGGATAGATCTCCTGTATTACAATATTCCATAATTATCACAAATTCTTTGGTATTAGGATCTTGCGTAATTCCATAATACGAAATAATTCTATAACTGTCTTTTTTTAATTGATAAGATATTTTAAGCTTAAAAAAAGATTATTAACTTAGTATGTATTATAATAAGAAAAAAAAAGAAAAACATATAGTTATACCTCATTTAACTCCTTAGAAGTAAAGTTTTTAGAATTATTAAGTTTCTTATGAGCAACTTGTTTATTAGAATTCCGATTATATTTTTTTTCTTCGAAATTCCAACTCTTTATTGGACCATCAATCCAAGTAGCTTTATAAACTTTACTAAATCCTCCCTCACCAATAAATTCTATATTTTGGAATTGATCATATGGAACAAACTCCATTCTATTACTATCTCCATTTAACAAATGAATCTGTGTGTGTTTGATAAAATCGTCAATAATTTTGTTTCCGCTTGAATTAAATATTGTAATGTATTTATAACAGGTACGGCAAAGCTTATGATTTTCTTCAGAGGGTTTTCTTCTTTTTTTACATCCAATGCATTTCTCAAATTTAATTTTAGGTATTGATACATTTGATACATGATTCATGATTATTTTTGCAAAGGCATTCAAAACCATCTATATATACTTTTTGTTCTTAAAATGACAAAATATTCTAAATGGAAATTTCCAAATTAAAAAAAGAATTCCATCAATTTCTTCGAAACTTCCAAAACATGTTTCACAAAGAAAATCTTTCCATATTGAGTAAGGTATCCATTCATAGGCGGTCCTACCATTTAAATTGGAAGAAAAGGGTGGTTTTTACATGGCAAACTATTTATTTATTATATTCAATTATCTTGATTTATTAGTTAAACTTGCCAATTTTTAATGTTTCTTAGAAAATGAGGATATATATCGTTAACGAGTTGGCTGAGCTTATTTCAGGACCGATTACCTTTGATGAACAGTATTTGAGTATGTCTGACTTGCTTGCTGTGAACGATGGAATATCATTGACATTACGAATAAAACTTCACAGTCATTCTTCCAATAATTTTCACAATGGTAAGAAACTAATTCTATTTTTTTTAAAAAATCTTTTCCTTCGGTCTCAAATAAAATAAACAAACATTTAGGTACCGAATCGTTTATCCGAACACCTAGACTCAAATTGTTGCCAAATAATCCGCATTGCAATGCAAGCTCAGTTCACTGGTAGCTGGACAAATAATGCAGGAATTTATGAGCTCGGTGACAGACTTTTGTTAAAAAGATGGTTACCATACATATACATCTTATACACTTTCTGATTCTGAAAATCTACATTGAAGGTTAATGTTTGGATATTATGGATATTATGGAATCCAGAATGTTGCAACAGGAAATGTTGTATTCAATGAAGGACCATTATTGGGTGGTGTGCTATTAAAATTGAGGTACGGATCATATGATTTACTATGTCTCGTACCTTAATTTTAATAGCATACCATCCATATATCGGACGTTCTTTCGATAATGGTTTAATGACAAAATTTGGTAATTTGGTATGACTTATTATAGAAATAAAAGTAAACAATGTCACAAATAAATTAAATATCATATTGATTGTATTAAATATATTAAATAGAATGTTCACTATTTCAATTAACGTTTATGAAGAAGTTAAGTTGTAAGTTATTTTAAATTTTTTTATCATGAATATGCATTTAAGATAGGTTACTCTGACAAATTAATTTAAATTATGATTTCAGAATGAAATAATTGAATATGGGTCGAAGGTTGCACTTGTCCACTAGAAAATATTTGACTAATAAAGGAATTAAATATCCAATTCACCATCAAAATATGCTATTTGTCAAACTTTTTTGTTTTTATTAGTTATATCGAAAGTTAATATTGTGAACTTGAGGTTGTGTGTAATGGTCAGGAAATAGATTGTAATAATAATGTTTATATTATTATTGAAGCTTATGGTACAAGTGTAACTCGGTGTCATTAAATACTATTATTGGATTTAAACATCAAGCGATAGGAGGAATGTTACATTATCACATTATCATAGAATTCATGAAGAAGGCAATCAAGCGAAGCATCAGCAGGGTATGTTTGAAGCATAAATATTTTAACAAATAATCATTTGCAAATTTACAAAAATAATAATATTTAATGACCATCATCTGGAATCTTAGAAATCTTAGAGATGAAAACGATGACTTTGTCATATAACGTTATAATTCAAACACTTCTAAAGATGAATCAGGTTATTTGTCGAATGGTGATATAATTAACCTAACCCAGTTAAAACTGGTTATCCAGCTATCCCGTATTATTGGATAATGGAACTCAGGAAGTTTCTTGTCATGGAAATGGAAATGATAAAAATAATAACATACGCAGTACATTCTCCAATTTTGAGTGTTACAAGTGATTTGCAAGCTGTCACTATATTATACTTTTTAAGATTTTTTTTTATACGATTGTTCGTTAAGTTCGTGAATATTAATTTTTCATCTTAAAAACTCAAACACTCCAATAACTTTTAGTGTATCTTACTTTAAAAACAGGCAATTTTGCTTTTAAACTTGTAAAAAAATTTTTTTTTGATTTAAAATTAATATAACCCATTTTTTTATTTGAAAAACAATCATCCAGATTTGTAGACTTATCTTAACCAATAGCAAAAAAATCCATTTTTATTAAAAAAAAGAAAGAGAAAGAAAGGATTATAATTATAAAAAAAAGAATAAAATAAGATATATGTTTTTTTAAAAAAAACTTAAAAGAAATGGAGAAAGAGTAAAGATTCTGATTTCCTAAAAAATGTTTAAATATATATGATTTACTATGATACACAATTTTCATAGTAAATGAATTGTAAATAAAAAGCATATAGAAGACAAAATACATATTCAAATACTAGCATTCTAAATGATAAAATTCATCATTAATTGACAAAATCATCTTTGAATTGATAAATATTATCTTTAAATTGACGAAATTCGTCTTTGAATAGATAAATATGAATTAATCAAAATATGTCAATTATTAATGAATTTTCATTAACAAATTAATGAAAATATATCAATTGTTAACGAATTAATCAAAATTTATCAATTATTAACAAAAATTTGTTAACAATTGACCGAAATATATCAATTATTATCAAAAATTACTTAATGAATTAAGAAATTCGTTAATAAAATTCGTTAATAAATTGAAGAAAATATGGGAACGTTTTCAGTAAAATCAAATTTATGAGACATAGTAAATCATATGATCCGTAATGTGATTTTACTGGAAACGCTCCCATATGTTAATTTATTACAAAAATATGTAAATTATTAATGAAAATATGTCAAATTGTTAACAAATTATCATTAACAAATTGATAAAAATATGTTAATTATTAACAAAAATTCATTAATAATTTTACAAAAATGTAACAATTGTTAACAAAATTTGTTAATGAATTGACGAAAATATGTTAATTATTAATGAAAATTCATTAATAATTTGACAAAAATTTGCCAATTATTAATGGAAATTCACTAATGTTTTGACGTATCAATTGTTAACAAAATTTATCAATTGACAATTTCATTAATTTTATGAATTTAACTAAAAATTATTAATAAAATTTATTAGCAAATTGTTACCAATTAAAAATTCTAATTAATTAATCAGATATTAAACCAATTGATAACTAATTATTAATTGAACCTAATTGGTTACTATTAAATATATAGTTTATAATTTTTTAAATAAGTATAAAATTGGATTAAAATCTGATTTATGTAATTTTATTTAATAATTATCAATTAGGTATTAGATAATTCATATCTAATTGTAGTATCTACTGATTTTTATCTATTAATTGTTAATCAAAAAAAAATAACCAATTAAGAAAATATCTGATTGATCAACATTTGATATGTGTAATAAATATCAAAGCTTAATGAAAGTTATGGTATTTATAATAAATAATTTATAAAATAAAATAATAAAAATATAAATAATTTTATTAATAATAATAATTTTGTGAAATTATATGAAAATTGAATAAAATGTATATTTTTAAGTAGACTTGAAGAATTTAGTGAAAGTAAATTAGCAAAATTCTAAAGTAAATAAAGTTATTCTAATGATCTTATATATTAAAATTTATTATTTAGATTATTAAATTTTAAAATGCAATATTTAAGTAAACTTAAACGATTTGTATAGATTTTTAAATTTATTGTTCATTCTGAACTAAAATTACCCAAGTTACATTTATAGTTATATTATATTATCAATTCAATACAAATATATGAAGTAATAAATAGCTATACAATAGAAACTTATGAAAACCTTCAAAAAGATTTTGTTAAAATATCCTATCATATTAGTAATAAAAAAAATTGAATTTTAACTTTTTCAAATTGTATGTATCTTATAATTTGCAAACTTTTTTTATAATAATTAAAATAATACAAAATTTATACGATAAATTGGTAAGAAATTGCTTATATAATCTTTCAACAATTAGCAAAGTTAACAAAAACATCTCATTTTCTCAAATTTTCTACAAAGTTTTTTGAATATGCTCTATATGATACAAATACATTTTTGATAAAATAAAAGAAAATTCTGTTATAAATAATAAAATGTAAACAAATTTCAGCAAATTTTCAGAATATTTAAAATCTTATCTGGATTTTTTTAAACATCTTATAATATATAAATCAATTACTTTAAAAAATGATGATATAATATGTTAATACCAAATCTCATTAACTACTATATTACAATGATCTACAAATTTAGCATTATTAACTTTTAATATTTTTAACTTCTTTAACATATTTATAATTTTTATATTATTTATTTATATAATATTATATATATTTATTTTATATTTTAACTTTATTAATTATATTGTCAATTATACTTATTTATTATAAAGTAATATTAAATATAGTTTTTCTTATAATTGTAATTTTGTATAAATAGAATAGAAAGTTGCATTTGTAAAAGAACAACTCAAGAGTACAAGTTCAATACTTAGAATCTAAAAGTAAGAATCTCTAAGTATACAAATCTATAATAAAAAGAAATCTTTTTCTATATAATAATCTATAATTTTCTTCAATGTGTCTAAAAGTATTTATCATTTGTTATAAAGTTATAAAGTTAAACTCATGTAAAATATTTACTAGTTAATAAACTTAAAGGTTAATCGTAATAGGACTTATCTTATAGTAATCATAACTAAATATACATATTATCCTCTGTTATCAAGTTAACGTTATCTTAAGTTTGACGATTAAGTAGGTTAAGTATAGAATTAATAGCAAGCTATTAGTAGTTATTATAGCAAAGTATATATTTTAATAAATTTTGAAAAATCAAATAATTATATATTTGATAAAGGAATTTGTTACAACAAGTATTATTAACTAATTACTTTTATATAAATATTTATTTATTTATTAATTATAAAAAATGATTATAATTTTATAGACTTTATTATTAATAAAAGTACTAATAGAAAAAGGAAGCCTTTCATAAATCTTGCATTTAATGATATGACTTCAAATCTTAAAATAATCCATATAAGTATAAAAGTTTTCATATTATCAGTTATAGAATATGTTCCCTAATTTTAAAGCTATTGCTAAAGTATTTATATTAAAATAATTCTTTTATATAAAACTCAAAATTGGTATTTTAAATCTATTTTTTTTATCAAACAATTACAGTAAATAAAATTATATATAATATTAAATTTTGAAAGAATTTAATAATGTTGTCACTGGGAATAATCTTCTCTGATTACTTCACGTAATATATCTAAGTTTCTTTACTGTAGTAAGTAACT